CTTGCTCTTCCGACTCTTTCAGCAACTTTTTCGTGCGTGTGTGTTTGTGAAAGAGGACCACGTATCTGTACTGCAAAAACAAAAACAATTGCTGCCGTGGGGTAACATAAAACATCGCTACAGGCCAGCTCTATCGAAACAAGAGGCATGCGACTTCGTATCCAGTTGTTCGCCTGAAAGGCATGAAGAAGAGTTCAACAGGCCCAACACTTTCGAAACCAATCACAGGCGAGAGGTGTACGTATATACATACGACTTCGGAACCAGTCCTTCGCCTGACAGAATAAAGAGCTGAACAGGCCAATAAATAGTACCGAAACCGCACAAGTACAAGAGGGGTGTGACTTCGGAACCAGTCCTCCACCTGAAAGAAAAAAGCACCTAACAGGCCAACACACTATCGAAACCAAACGAAGGTAAAGGGGGCATGTGACTTCGGAGCCAGTCCTTCGCCTGAAAATAACGAAGAGCCCAAAAGGCCAACACACCATAGAAACCAAACAAAGGCGAGAGGCATACGGAGCCACTTACTTCCTCACCCGACAGAAAGAAGAGCTCAACAGGCCAATACGCCATCGAAACCAAACATGGCATACGAAGCCATCTAGCTCCTCACCTGACAGAATGAAGAGCAATCCCATCGTGTCCGACCAGTGCAGGTCCTGGTGGTGGGGCACGAACTTGAGAGAAAACGCCACGTTCCCGATGGGGACCATTACCGTCGACGCCAGGAACAGCACGTTCGCGCTGCACCAAGCGGGGACCGGGGACAGGGGACACGGGGATGGGGGACCACAAGGAAAACACTGAGAGTCGCGGCGGCGGCGGTGATGGTGGTGCTGAGCCATGTGAATTACGACCCGTGTTGTTGCGTGAGGGGGATGGGCAATCCGAAGATTAAAACACGAAAGAAAAAATAGACGCTCGTCCGGGTATGACATTCGGAAGGCAAAACCCAAGTGCAACAGGTACAAGGAGAGAGCGTCGGGCTCCCGGTGGGTGAGCATTGCGCAAAACAAAGCAGACTGAACACGCGTGGTCGGTTTGCTGCTGCTCCCTGGGAACCAAGACTCTTTCTTGCAGTTATCCTCCCGTCGGAAACTATTGCCTACTCTCCCTCCCGCTTACTACCTTTCCGCACGCACAGCCTTTGTCAGCGAACCTAGTGATCCTAGTGAACCTCTGATGACCTCAAGAGGACCTTCGCCTCATCCTAAGCACTACTAACATTTCCCATCTGGCAGAATACTCTCTACACCCATCAGAACACCTCTCTTTTCAAAAACGGGTAAAACAATTCCTCGTTTTCCCGTCCAAAACTTAACTCATTCCCCACCGAAAATCCGGCATGCGGGGGTGGTCGACCATTCTCCGCAACATGCTTCATACCCCCCACGCACAACAACACCCAAAAACACGCCGCTATATACCATGAAAATACAAGGCGCGCCTCCGGCGTGGGCTCAACAGAGCACACGTAGTATTATAGTGTCACCAAGGCATGATGCAAGATGAAAGTAAAAGGATGCATGTGTTGGTGTGAGAATCAGCTGCGAGCTGCCCGCCACCAGCGACGTTTCCCAAGCTCGAACAGCACGCACGGTGGACGTGCTTTCGACTCGAAGAGACCAGCGAACCTTTAAAACGAACCACAAGATTACAAATCTGTATATTGTACAGTTTTGTTGTAGTCTCACCTTCCATGCTTGAGGATGACGATGAGAACGACGTTGTATACGAGGTTGAAGCACAGGTACAGCGTCACGAAGAACGGCGCGGTCTCGCAATGATCTGGCGGAATCATGTCAGATATTCTGCCGCTGAAAAATAAAAAAGAGGAAAATACATGGTGGGGGCAGAGCAAGAGGAGGCAATATATTAGGGTGATGTGCGTTGCGTTTTTGTTTTGGGGATTGTACATTTTCGAGTTTGGGGGACGCAAAACCAAAAGCCAACCTAAGGTGATCGGCCGTCACATAAAAAAGAGACGCCGGGCGTACAGTACGTCAAAACCTCAAGAATCGCGGAAAATAATCCCCCCACCCAACACATACTTTTCTTTGGCGTCTTGTAGTGGACATGGATGTGCCACGAGTGTTTTGGTCGTGCGCAGGACTTAACTGCCGGCCTTAAAAGCAATGCGAACCTGGCTAGCGTGGCGTGATTGGCGGGGGGGAGCTGACAGCTTCGGATTGACTTCGCAAGCAACCAATACGCAACAAGGGAGCTATTCATAACAACATAGATAGCTCTCAAAAAGTCCACGACCAGTAGGCTGCCAGTTCCAAAAAAGGATGTGGATTGATATCGACATCGGCCGCGTTGGCGAGGAGGGGGACTTGCCATTACTCCCTTTTTTCCGGTATTCTATCGACACACGGGAGCTACGTGCCTGCCGCTGCTGCATGCCGGCAACTGGTGTCGTCAAAGATGTCGGCAAAGCATGACCAAAACACACAGAAAAAAGAAGTGGACGCTAGCGGTCACTCTGATGCCCCGCTCAGCTCAGGTCAGCTCACCCAGTTGTCGCTGCCATGTTGGCCATGTCAGTGAAGTGGCTGTTCTCGCCCATGAAGCAGAGGTAGCCCTCGTATGTGTTTCGTGGCAGCTCCTGCGGCGGGGGGGGTTAAGGGAGGTTGTTTTCAGCCAGGCAAGCAGCAACGACGGACGGAGAGGACGTCACAGCCATCAACAACCGGTGTGGTCACGCGAGCGTACCACACGCACGACGCTGACTTCGCGCCCGCCACCGCGCAACGGCAGTCGAGTAGCGCGAAGTGCAGCAGCCAACGAAAATGTTGGAGCTTCTGGCACACTCGCGTTTCACTACAAAACAACCAGCATCAGCATCAGCATCAGCATCAGCTGCGGCAACCAACGATCTTTATTCTTCGACCTCACGCAAACAATTTTTTCTCGTGCCCAACCAACGGTCAACGGCGTACAGCAGTACTCGCACAAAATATCTGCTACTTCCTCGACCACGACTCGTGCTACACAGCAGCAGCAGCAGCAGCAGCAGCAGCAGCAACCTTCTTCTTTCCCCCTCACCGCTACGGGCAGACCCATCGCGTACGCCGAAGGCACGGCGAAGAGGAGGCTGGACAGGAACTGGAACACCGCCACCCACCCGTTCAGGTAGATGACGTCCATGTCGTCGTCACCGAGAGCCTTCTCCTTGTACACGGAGCTCAGGCACATGGGGATGCAGGAGAGGACCTGAAGGGGCGCGCGCGGATATTCCGGGTTGATCGGTCTGCACGCTCCCCCCAAGGGCGTTTTGCAGGAAGGAGACAACCTGGTGCAGTATCTTAACGTCACCGCCGTTGTACAATCGTGCTAATACTACTATGGGAGAGTATGCATCGCTCCCCAAAACTGCTGTATATGTACCACGTATCGACGGCGGCGGTCGCTGCTTCACACACCTGCACGCCGCTCCAGATGATCTGCATGGACGCATCCACGTCCTCCCCTCCGGCAGGGTGCCCGAAGAACGTCGGGATGAGCGTGACGATGATCCCCGCGATCACCACGCTCGCCCCGACGTACTGCAAATATATATATATATTGATGAGAAGAAGGGGGCCGGAGTACAACCGCGTGGCGGTGTGGATTAAAAGAACGAAAGAGAATAAATGGAAAACAAAAAAAGTTACGAAAAATTCCCCCCTGCGTGCTCTCCTAAAAGGTGCTCCAATAGTTTTTGAGTGAACACCTGTCTCTCTTCGGTAACCATGTGCAACTGTCGAAGGACCATCGTGGCTTTTGATGTCCGACAAAAACGTTCCAAACCCGTTCCTGCACGCGTTCCAGCAATCTGTCAAGCCTCCGAGACCGATCAAAAATAAGTTCCATGGCGCAAAGGACAAGGATCGCAACAGCGACCGCACGAGCCCTCCGCCCCCTCTTCGTCCATCAAGCCAACACATGGTACGGAAGGTCCGTATCACGCCTGACGCTTCGACCTCAGCGAGATCCAACGCAAAGAAAGCCTGCCTCGTCAGCGAACCCCCGACGATGCGCATCTAGCCGCACACGCCGCGCCTCCGATGTGCGAAACATGGACGCGATCCTCCGACGACAGCACCCCGTTGGCGTAAGAACGCCAACTAGGAAGCAACTCCCCTACGGCTGTGCGCGGTTTCTCTCTGCCTCTCCCTCCCCACCGCTACATAGCAGGTGGCCACGCCCATCAAAACCAACGATACCAACCTTTGGCAAAGTAGGAAGGAACGATTGACCATCGGTGATCAGTCCTGTGGGAACAATGTTCCGTCCTCTTGAGGACGCGTGGGGTCAATGGTCTACCTGCTAAGGCATTCAAACACATGAGAGTACGCCCCCCCCCCCCCCAACCCCCCCCAAAAAAAAAAAACCCCCCCCCCCCCCCAAACACCAACACACCCCCCAAAAAAAACCCAAAAAAAAACAAAAAAAAAAAAAACCCCCCCCCCCCCAAAAAAAAAAACAACCCCCCCCCACCAAAAAAAAAAAAAACAAAAAACCCCCAAAAACCCCCCCCCCCCCCCCAAAAAACCCACCCCCCAAAAAAAAAACATCAAAAACCCCCCCCCCCCCCCCCAAAAACCAAACCAAACCAAAAACCCCCCCC